TTGCCCGATATGGAGACAGAGAGGTCCAGGAAGGGGAGAGAGGTGTTAGAGATGGTCCAGGTAAACTTAAGGTTGGGGTGGAAGGTGTTAGTGAAGTGTATGAACTGTTCGAGCTCCTCGTGGGAGCACGAGGCGGCGCCGATACAGTCATCAATGTAACGGAGGAAGAGGTGGGGTTTAGGGCCGGTGTAGGTACGGAAGAGGGATTGTTCCACGTAACCTACAAAGAGGCAGGCGTAGCTTGGGCCCATGCGGGTACCCACGGCTACCCCCTTTGTCTGTAGGAAGTGGGAGGAATTGAAAGAGAAGTTGTTGAGTGTGAGGACGAGTTCGGCTAAGCGGATGAGGGTATCAGTGGAGGGGGACTGGTCGGGCCTGCGGGACAGGAAGAAGTGGAGGGCCTTAAGGCCATCTGCATGGGGAATGCAGGTGTAGAGGGACTGGACATCCATGGTAAAATGGACATCCATGGTTTAATCGTTCCATTTTAACTGCACTCAGAGGCTGGGTTTTGAGGCAAATTTTAAACTAATTGACCCAGGAGTTGGGGAAAATGCTGGATATGCAGCCTGCCTTCTCGCAGTCAGGGTTTAAACCCAGCACTCTTTAATCCCATCCCAAACAGATTGTGTTTAACAGATTGGAAGATGCGCCATCATACCTTATGGACAGTGTGATTGGTACATGCTGCTGTGGCTGCTCTCAACCCTACATTCTCCTCCTTTGGAAAACATTTGAAGAGTTGTGTTTTTAAGCAGAAGGAATGAGGTGGCTAATAACTATTCACACAGATAGCCATCGACAAGCACATACCCTCCAAAAATAAATCTCTGAATGGGTGAAATAGGTTAATATTAAAGAATGTTGAACGGGATATTAAAAGCACAAGTGAAAGGCGATGTGGAAATGATTTTGAAGCTGAAAGTGTATCAAAGCACACAGACAAAGATATTAGCCTTGACCAGGTGACTGAGAAGGAGAACGAGGCAGTGACAGCAGAAACACTCCATGGTGAGGCTGGAAGATTGGATTGTATCTCCAACATTCAAGATTTACAAGGAAGCCAGGGCTTTGAACATCAACAACAGAAGCCAATGAGCAGGAAACTTACCCGTGAAGAAATCTTTCAGGCTGAATAATTTAATCTCCTCATCTCGGTTCAGCTTCTGTGACTCCTCATTCATGGATGCCCCTGAGCCAGTCCAAAAGACTTGACACTTGCCCAGTCTCTTGGCAAAAAGATCTCCATTTTTACTCTCCAGGAGAAGTCCTCCCGCCATGTTTGACAGGGCATAATTGGTGAACTTTTTCTGTTGGCAATCCTTTATCTCCTCTGTACTTGGGAACCTGATTTGTTGCAGCTGAGCGAATCTCTCATTCTCTTCATCATGATACAGGCGGCAGCCATAAGCATTTCTGACTGTGCTCTGAAAAACCTCTTTGCCACGGTAGTAAATGGTAAGGTCAAAATCTCTTAGAACTGCACAAAGAGAAAGAGGTTTAATCACCAGACAGCTTTTGATTTTGCCTTGCAATAATTTGCAATGTTTAAGCAGATCTAGTAATCAGATACGAAGGATAAAAAGAAGTAGAAAATTAAAAACTGATCTCATTAAAATGATGAAAGAATTTGATAGTGTAGTGTTGTGAAGTTGGGTAGAGTATTTGATGTTTGTAAAATGATAGGGAGGAAGGGTGTGTGGTCCCTTTAAAAGATGATGTGTTTTTCTAGGCTTGGAGATTTTTTAAAAATGTGCAGGTGCACAGAGAACTCCTGAAGTTGAAACATTGCATCAAAAGGCTATATGGTTAACAACCCAGGCAGTGGTTTATTTTGTTATTAAGACAACCCATTTGAAACTCAGCCAATTAATTTAAACCAGGCACTTAGAAACTAAAAACCAATTAAACTTAAATCTGATGGTTTTGACAATCTAGGACCAAACCAACTGTAAGAAATTCATAGGTCATCAAGGGTATAAAAGAAGACTGCATTCGAAAAATCGGTGTAACTGCCATCTACTGGAGTTAAGAACCCATCAGCTTTCAAGAGGAAATCACTGGCTCTCACAGAATTTTCTGGACTCTCAGAATAAGCTTCATCTAACTAAAGGTATAGCTGCACTCTTGGCTAACATTCCTGACACATGAATTCAGAGAAAGGCGTTCCTGATTGAGGATCAGCGGCGAAGGCATGGAGCATTTCAGAAGACATATCCTGGCTGCAATTTTGAGGGATTAAGTTTTAATTTATATTATTATTATTATTTTGGTTTATATAAGTGGGACTTGTATTTATTTGAACAGCATACCATTACAATTTTGTTTTATTCAGGGATTAGTTAGTAGTTAAGGGGGAATTGCTTGGTTTGTTCATAGTTCTGTTAATTTGTTCACTGTTAGAGTTAGATAAATAAATTGTTACTTGTTGATTTATAGAGTGAGTGAAAGGATTTCACTTTGTTTAACTACTCCTTTATAACAGATTGTGAGGTGAGAGGCAGGTTATATCACTTTTCACACTTCTTTTAACAGATTATAGGACAATGTGAGCCTCTTTGGGTGTTTTGGTTCTAGTTATCAGGAGGTGGGGGGGGGGGTGGGTCAACCTCTGCTTCATAACAATGGTTAGAAAGAAAGGATTTCCACTGATAGGAGAGCCCAGCAGAAGAGGATGTAACCTTAAAATTGGAGCTAGGACACTTCAGGTGTGATATTGTGATGTCAGGAAGCACTTCTTCACACAGAAGGCAGTGGAAATCTGGAACACTTTACTCAAGAAGCTACCAAGGCTAGGGTTCAACTGGAAAATGACAGATTTTTGCTGGGTAGGGGTATTAAAAGATATGGAATCATCATCTATTCTACTATTCACTACCTCAAGAAACTGCAGTGGGCTTGTCAATCATGATTTCCCTTCGTAAATCTATTTTGACTTTATCTATTTTCAATGATACTTCCTAAGTGTCCTGTTGTCACATCCTCTATAATAGACTCTAGCAATTCCCACAGTGGCAGTATTGTCATACAGTCGTAGAGTCATGGGGATGTACAGCATGGAAACGGACCCTTCCATTCAACTGGTCCATGCCGACCAGATCTCCTAAATTAATCTAGTCCCATTTGCCAGCATTTGGCCCATATCCCTCTAAACCCTTCCTATTCATATACCCATCCAGATGCCTTTTAACTGTTGTAATCATACTGCCTCCACCACTTCGTCTGGCAGCTCATTCCATACGCACACCACCATCTCTGTGGAAAAGTTGCCCCTTAGTTCCCTTTTAAATCTTTCCCCTCTTATCTTAAATCTATGACCTCTAGTTTTGGACTCCCCTACCCTGGGAAAAAGACCTTGACCATTCACCCTATCCCTACCCCTCATGATTTTACAAACCGCTATAAGGTCATCCCTCAGCCTTCAATGCTCCAGGGAAAATAGCCCCAAATAGCCTCCTCCTGTAGCTCAAACCCTCCAATCCTGGCAACATCCTTATAAATCTTTTCCGAACCATTTCAAGTTTAACAACATCTTTGCTATAGCAAGGAGACCAGAACTGATTGCAATATTCCAAAAGCAGCCTAACCAATGTCCTGTACCATGACATTCCAACTCTTACACTCAATGCACTGACTAATAGAGGCAAGCACACTAAACACCTTCATTACTACCCTGTCTGTCTGCAACTCCACCTTCAAGGAACTGTAAGCCTGCACCCCAAGGCTGTGTTGTTGGACATCCAGTACTTGAGGATGGGCCATGTTTTGGGAGGGGAAGCACTGAGGATATACTGAACCGTCAAATGGTGCCATCTTTTGAATGAGGCATTAAAACTAATTCCCTATCTGCCCTCTGAGTTGGATGTAAAGATGTCATAGCTCTATTTCAGCAAGAGTGTGGTAGTTCTCCCAACGTCTTTTCCAATATTCATCCACACACCAATATCAGACAAGGCAGATTATTTGATAATATCCAAAAAGGAATTATATAATGCTGCTAGAAAAGGTAGCAAGTCTGATGATTGGGAGTAGTTTAGAATGCAGCAAACAAAGATGAGGGGATTGATTGAGAGAGAGAAAAAAGGAGTATGAGACTAAAGTTGGTTGCAAGGTACATAAAAATAAACTGTGAAAGCTTAACAACTATGTCAAAAGAGAAAGATTAGTGAAGACAAACATAGGTTTCTTATTTAAATAAAAACAGAAAGTGCTGAAGAAACTCAACTCAACCCTTAAGTCTTCAAAAAAGAAAGTACTTTTGGCCTCAAAAAGATAACTATGTTTCTCCTTACAGAAATGCTGCCAGGTTTGTTGAGTTTCTCCAGCACTTTCTATTTTTAGTTCAGATCTCCAGCATCTCCAATATTTGGCTTTTATTCATAGGTGTTTTATTGTTAGAAATGGGAGACCTGATAGTGGAGAACATGGAAATGGCACAGTATTAAACAACTACTTTAGTTCTGCCTTCATGGATGACAACCCAAAAATGTCCAAAAAGCTCTAGGGAACCAAAGCTCTATTGCGAAGGGGAAAGTGGACATCTGTATTAGTGAAAACAATACTGGAGTAATTCATTGTACTGAAAACTGATAAATGCCCAATCCCTGATAATCTACATTCCAATGTGTTAAAAGAGGGAGAAAAAGTAGATGCGTTGATTGTCATCTTCCAAATTTGTGTTGATTCTAGAATATTCCTGCCAGATTAGAGGGTGGCACCCTAATCCTAGCCTAAAATCAGTATTAGGGAAAATGCTAGAGCCTATTATAAAGCATGTGATAACAGGACACTTCGAAAATATCAACCGAATTAGACAAAGTCAAAATTAATTTGAGGTAGGTATTGGTAGAATTGATGAGGAAGAACCAGTGGATGTAGAGTATTTAGCTTTTCAGATAAAATCCCACAAATAAGAGGATGGTGCAAAATCAAAACAATTGGGATCAGGTCACATGTTGGCTTGGATTGAGAATTGGTTAGCTAACAGGAAACAGAACTGGAATAAATGGATCTTTTTCAAACTAGTGGCGAACTGCTGGGATCAGTGCTTGGGCCTCAGCTATTCACAATATCTATCAACAATTTGGAAGAGCGATTTAAATCTAATATTTCAGGTTTGCTGACAACCCAAAATCAGGTGGGATCGAAAGTGATGATGAGGATGTTAAGGGGCTTCAAAGCAATTCACACAATTTGAAGGAATAGATAAATACATGGCATATGCAATATAATGTGAATAAGTGCGACGTTATCCACTGAGGTAGAAAAAAATACAATGGCAGAGTATTACTTAAATGGTGACACATTGGGAAATGTTGATGTACAAAAGAGATGTATCTTTTTACAGCAGTCACAAAGCAAACATTCAGATACAGCAAGCAATTAGGAAGGCAAATGGTATGTGGGCTTTTATTGCAAGAGGATTTGAGTGCAGGAGCAAAGGAACCCTACTGCAGTTGTACAGAGCCTTGATGAGACCATACTTGGTATATTATGCACAGTTTTGGTCTCCTTAAGAAAGGATATACTTGCCAATATAGAGCGAGTGCAGTGAAGGTTTACAAGGCTGATTTCTAGGATGGCAGGATTGTTGCATAAGGAGAGATTGGGTCGATTGGAGGCTGTATTCACTCCAGTTTAGATGAATGAGAACAGATTTCATTGAAACATATAAAATGCTGCCTGGACGGACTGGATGTATCCTCTGTCTGGGATAGGAGTCAAGAACAAAGGATGCCGGTCTTAGGATACAGGATTTAGGATTGAGATGAGGAGAAGTTTGTATACTCAGGTGATGATCCTCTGGAATTCTCTACAACAGAAGGCAATGGAGGACAAGTCACTTCATATATTTACAAAAGAAATAGGTAGATTTCTAGACATTAAAAATGTCAAGGCATATGGGAAGAGAGCAGGAGTGTGGTAATGAGATGGAAGATTAGCCATGAGCAGACTGAATGGCAAAGTTGTCTCAATGAACAGTGAATAGCCTACTGTTTACTCCTATTTTCCATGTTTTTATCTCACTGCTGTTTATGGGATCTTGCTTTTCACTAACTGTGGTATCTAGATAATTTCATATAACTGAATTGTGGCGACACTTCAAGAATACATGAACTCTGACCGTTCTGAAGAAATATTAACTCTGCTTTCTCTACACAGATGCTGTCAGACCTGCTGAGTTTTCCCAGCAACTCCTGTTTTTGTTTCCGATTTCCAGCACCTTCAGTTTTTTTGTCTCAAGAGTACTTCACCAGTTGTAAAGCATTTTGGGTTTCTGAGTTTCTGAAGGGTGCTGCAGAAATGCAAATCTTTCTGTTCTGTCTAAATGTTCCATTAAAAACGTTTACTTTTAAATAGAAAGGGCAAAGATTGGACTAGTTGGCCCAAGGGTTCAGCTATTTCTCGGCTTGACATACCTTGTTGGAGTTGAGATACGATTGGAATTTCAACCTGTGTTCCTGAAGCCGGATTCAGAGGGACATCAGGAGTAAGGTAGTGTACTGGCATCTCCTGGGCCATATTGTCCATTACATGAGATGTTGGGACATGCAGAGGTTCCCACGTTTGGTCTAATATTAGGAACATAAAACACGGATTCTTACTGTTTAAAGACATCAACTTAGCATGCACCGTTTTCAGCACCCTCCCCAAATAATGTTGCATGGATTTGACCCCAAGTGGACCTTAAGTGCATGTCAATAGGACATGGGTCTAGAGTGTGATCAGAAGACCCTTCCTCTCCATCGGACTGCTCCATCTGGATTTGAAGTCAAGAGGTCTGAAGGATTCACAGCCTCACTAGTTTTGCTGTACAGGGTCCCATACCCAAGCCAAACAGGAGACTGCATTATTTTGTCTTCTGCCTAGTGCTGTGTTATTATGCTGAGTGGTAAGAATTAACATAGTCTGCTTTGTGTTTCTTGGCCTGGTGAAGAAGAGGGCCAACATCCCATGACCATGCCTTGAAAGAGTCCTGGAGCTTATTCCTGAGCAGCTACAATGCCCAGCCCTACGAGCTGCCCGGTGACAAGGCCAGAAGGCAGGCTTCTGCCTTATACCTCTCATCTGTACTGAAAAGGTAGCCATTCTGTCCACCTAGGGTTGCCAACCCTCCAAAAATTGAAGATCAAACTCCAGGGCACAGTTGGACCAGCAATCCCAAGAGAAGAATCATAGGGGCATTAAAAAAAAAGATTTATTTAAAATCATTTTCTTTGAACATTCCTCTTTGTCAGACATTACATAAAACAAAAATGGAAGAGACTGGCTGACACCCAAGCATCATCTAATTGTGTACTTAATATTCTAACTTTCTAATTAGCATAAGGCAGCCATATGTCAAAGGATGGATGTAAAATGGCCAATGGTGAAGTTTTGGGGCCAGTCACGTGATGAAACATCCACGAATACATTAATCACAGTTGGCAACCCTAATTTATCTTTCAAGGACAAATAGCAAAGGCCACTGGACCCAAGATAAGGCCTTTTACCCTTCAGGGAAGTGTACCCAGCAAGGACTGGAGCACGCAAAGAGATGGTGCCAGTGTACATCTGGATAGCAATGGTTACCAATTAGTCTTCATGTTCAGGGTAAGGACACCCCATTTAAGGTAATGATTAAAGCCTTTACAGGTGACAAGTGAATCACACTTGAATTTTTACGAAATGCCCTTCAGCCCTCAACCACTTCCCTGATTCTGGTTCCAGCAATTACCTGTGTTGAATGTGTGACTTGGCAGTTCCCTGTACTCATCAGTGGGCACGACTTGGGCTGGGGACACATTGAAAACTTCCTGGGGATGGGTGTCCAGAGGCACCTGGAGACTGTCGATTCCGTTCATCGCTGGGTTATAGATGTTCGCCGGATAGAACAGGCCAGGAGCCATTTGGTCTTTAATGAAAGAACAAAAAGGAAGTTTTTTTCCCCCTGCAATATTACACATTTACCAACATTCCAAAGTACATTGCAATCAGTGAAGCACTTCTGAAAGTGATGTCACTCTTGCATTTTGTATTCTAGAAGCTCCCATAAACCTTTACCTGCTGCATCATTCTGGTTCTGTGCTGTCTCTAGAGCCAAGCTCTCCTTTCTGCACTCCAGATGTGAACATGGCTTATTGCTCTCTATAAAGGAAGCATTGCTTTAGGTCAAGAACTGGGAATTGGCAATTGAAGGAAAAAACTCTCAACATGTTGGCCTGGGCAAGGTCGTGTGGGAGAGTTTGCAGGTTGTCTAGCAGGATGGGGGCATTGTGGTGGAATGAAGTTTCAATTGGGAAGTCTGGTTTTCTTGTGATGAGGTTTTAATTCCATACTGCAAGTGAGTCTTTTCTCATTAAAAGATTCCCCACCTGGAGGTCCATTTCAGTCAGGGAGGAGCACTCCAGAACAGGCAAGACTAACCCTAATGGAGGTCAGTGCTTTGAGTGGTGGTGGTGGTAGGGCAAGGCGGGAGGTGAGTTTGAGGGGTGGTACTTGGCTGCATGCGTTCCTGCTCCCCCCGCCCACAGGCAGTTCTAATAAGGCTCCCTTATTCACCTCCCTTCAGCTGCTGGCTGGGAATGACCAGTTGTGTGTCCCAGTGGATTCTCCACGTCAGGATTTCATGCAGCTCAACTTCACCAAGATAACACCCAAACAATATCAATGAGTAAAGTACTAACCTTCAGCACTGTCCGACAGATTCATTAAATCAAAATCTGGAATCCATTCTTCTAACTGTCCCTGATTCAACAGAACCAAGAGGAGACATCTGTATTTCAGACTGTTAACATTACCAAATCACAAAACTCTTCATCCATTCCTATCATATTCAGCTCCGAAACTGATTATATACACATTGATAGGTCATCAATGAACATTTTTACCAAGTAGTTTGTAATCATTGCACAGGTGGAAAGGTCATTGATTCCCTTGGTATAATGGGGATGATGTAAGGGGTTAGCCATGTCTCCCTTGGGATCACACTCACCTTCACTCTCTCATTGGAGTCAGAAGGCTGTGGGATCAGGATCTACTCAAGAGTCCATGAGCACATCGCCCCACACTATTGTAGGGCTGGTACCGCAGGAGCACTGCACTGTTGGAGGGCTGGTACAGAGGGAGCACCGCTCAGTTCGAGGGCTGGTACAG